ATATCCTCGTAACTCTCCATTCCTAAAAATGGTTAGTTATTTAGTTAGTTAGGCTCTGTTAGTTTTCAGGAATGGAGAATTACGCGGTCATTCCCCTCTACGTAATGGCCACAGCTCACACTTATCGGGGGTCTGATGCTGCTACATTGTTGCAACAAGCTCATTGCAACAGGCTGATACTTCACAGAATGTGATAGTCTTCGAGTCGGTCATCTGCTGGTGTACGACCCATGATAAGCCTGATACTTCACAGAATGTGATAGTCTTCGAGTCGGTCATCTGCTGGTGTAGGATTCACGATAGGCCTGGTGCTTCACAGTATGTGATAGTTTCCGAGTCGGTCATCTGCTGGTGTAGGATTCACGATAGGCCTGATGCTTCACAGTATGTGATAGTCTCCGAGTCGGTCATCTGCTGGTGTAGGATTCACGATAGGCCTGATGCTTCACAGTATGTGAAAGTCTCCGAGTCGGTCATCTGCTGGTGTAGGACCCACGATAGGCCTGTGTGGTTTTTATAGTATAATTTGTCCCAGATAAAAATACGTTGCCTCCGCTTTAACCAACACTGCTAGGAATGTTTGCTGGACGTCGCCGATGCTGGACAACTTATGTGTTGCGAATATAGTTAAAACTGTTCGGCTTTCACTTTCTGAGAAAATAGTTGTAGGTTGTCTTTCTTTGTTGTTTAACGCCACACTCGAGCCTGTACCATACAATCCAGTGTTTGAAATCATGAACATCGATCCACGCAATAGGGATACGATGACATGGATCAGCCAAGTCAGCAACCTGACCACCCGATCCCGCTAGTCGCCTTTTCCAGCAAGCATGGGATGCTTTAGACCTATTCTACCCCGGATCGTTACGGGTATTGTAGGTGAGCAGTGATCAAAAGTAAATTATGCCTCTGATACCCCCTCCCCTCCCTCGAAAACATGACAGCATGTCGATGGCATGACACATTCACAAACTTAACGAACGGCTAGCAAATGAGCATAAATTACATGACAGGTCCAAATATATAAATTATATAAATTAATTTTGATAAAACAAAACATGCCCGTTATTGTGCTTTAATACCTCAAACTTACTCCATTTCACATTTCACAATCATGATTTGTCCAAGTTTTTAACCTTTAGGAAACACAACTGTCATGTCTGGTAATATACATATTAAAGTTGTTTTGTATAAGAGTGCCTGTGTCGTTTAGCTATGCTGGTTAGTTCATTGTTTGTTGTTTAACGCCACTTCCCCAGCTGTATGACGGCGGTATCTCTGCTGATAGCAGCACATGCCGGGTGGGCTGGATTAGACACGCCATGTTGATGGAAGACTTGGCAGTGAGTGGTCATAATGTCGCAGATGGTAAAGAAAACAACCTTCGCAACCTCCGTAGAGAACAAAGTAAAAAACAACGCATTTGTTTTCATTGGAGTAATTATTGATGTAGTATATGTTGTCGTACCGCAGTCATTGTCACCCTCCGTTGATATACTCAGAAGAAGCTAAAGAATACCCGATATTTCATACGACTATAGGCAATCTGTGTACAGTCATGTCATTATAGTTAATCTCGCTAACATTTCTAAACTGTCGATATCACAGTTAATATAGGCGTCAGGAGAAGAACCAGTGTCTATTATCAGACGACAAAGATTCCATTGAGTTTAAAAGGAAAATAGCGGTAACAATTATACGAATAGATCACTGAAAGTCAGTACGTGTTTTTAGCCTGTCACCGCATAGCAGTACTCCTGCCGCACAGCGGCGACATGTGAAGGAACCAGACAGTACTGATTCTGGTGAAACTCAAAACGATATGTTAATTTTGAAATACTTCTGCTATGTATAAGTGCCGAGATTCTGATGCTTACACGCAAAGAAAAAAACAATGAAAGGGTTTTCTCGACATGTCTTGATATAGTCTTGGAACTGTCTATATCACACGACTCGTCACGATATGGCTGAAATATTGCCGATGTGACGTAAAGCATAAACTCACTCACTCACTATACCACACGCAGGAACTGCTTCAGTCGACATAACATTTAACTGTCTATATTGTTTGTTGGAAATAACAGATTAGGCTTTTGTGTGAAAAAAAGTCCTAACTGCATAAAGTTTTCTCGTCTTTTTTTCTCTCGTCTTAAAGTAGCCTCGGAACTGTCGTCAGTACATACATGTATGTAGTTGACGAGTTGATTCAGGATATTACATGTCAATACTCATGACGTCAATCACTGGATTGTCTGGTCCAGACTAGATTATTTACAGACCGCCGTCATATAGCTGGAATATTGCTCAGTGCGGCGTTAAACAACAAACAAACAATAACAACTTGTCAAACATTACTTGGCATTTATAAGTATGGATATAATTTCCAAAATGAATAAAGGAATGCGAGTACCTACACACCTTGACAGTGTTTACAACATACTCTGTTGTCATATTTCATTGTATTATTTATATTAAACATTCTGGACGAATAATTGCATTAGCGTTTCTATTGGTAAAACCATCAACAAATAACAGCCGAGATTCTGAACACACGAACTGAAAGAAACCCTCTGTTGTCCATCTGTTTACCTGACGAAATCCATGGTGGTTTAACCAGATAACACACCTCCACACAAATGACATAACTTGCGTTCACAGGTACCTCGTGGTAAAACTTTCCGTAGCTATAACCGGTGTTAAAGGTCCAGGCTTCCAGATGGGCAGTGTCTCGAGCGGTAGTGACCTCGAACTCTGTAGACACTGTATATCATTGAAAATCAGTGTGGTCAATTGTCTGGTTGGGAGAGATAAGTGTATTTCAGTGACACTGTAAGGCCACGGGCCCATGGCACATAATGTTAATATACACATAATGTAGTAGCAATTATATTAAAGGGGCGAACCATTGACTGTACAGTAAACTACGTTTGTAACGAACACGCTTATAACGAACTGACCCATATAACGAACATATTTTAAGTCCCGATCATTTGTGTATATATGCTGTATGTATGCTTATAACGAACTACGGTTATACCGATATAAAATAGTGGTCCCCTCGAATTCGTTATAACCGTAGTTTACTGCAATCTCATTTACTTGCACATATCCGTTTACTTCAAGTATTCACGCACTGAACACTCAATGCCATTCATGTCATATTCACGTACTGTAATCATGACTTTGCAAACAACACTATAGTACGTATTTCCCTACAGAAGCAGAAACTGGTGGTCAAAAGAAAGAATACCGAGTTTGTTTTTTATGTAAATGAAAATTGAAGGAACAATAGGTTAAATTGGATTATGTTTATTTATCCATCACTCATTCCAATAGTTTGTAAAAAGTAATCTGTGGCCGGGTAATTGTGTGTAAATATATTGGTGAAAGGAAATCTGGTTTAGGAATGAATTTGAAAAGTTCTAAATTTTTGCCATTTAATGTGAATTTTACGTGAATTTATTTTTCTAATTTTTAAAAGTTTAAAATCAAATTACAGTAAAACAATAAAACCACGTAGGCGTATTCTTTGAGTGCTGACGAAGCTCCGGTATACTCCATGTTTTGGAAATAATGTTACTAACTCCAGATATGTTCAGTTGATGATTGAACACATGATACCATCACCCGAGAGGTGAAGTTTCTTTTGTTCCTCAGTTTAAGAGAAGACACTGTGTCTGTATTATGAAGTGTGTGTGTGTGTGTGTGTGTGTGTGTGTGTGTGTGTGTGTGTGTGTGTGTGTGTGTGTGTGTGTGCGTGCGTGCATGTTTATGTAAACATCTTAAATGAATACGCACGTAAGCATGTACCATAAACAATGTCTGTTACTGTTACTTTTATTGTTTTCGTCATGGTTTTGCACAAGCAATTAAACTAAATATGTTTTACGTGTTGTACTAAATAGATAGTATTAATAAATGCAACAAACCCGCTTTGTCTATTGTAATAGTTTCCGACTATATCAGGAGCACGAGTTAATGAATCACTATCAAATAGTCATGACAAGAGGTGTTCGGGAAAAGGTCCGTCACAAACACATGCAAAGGCAAGTCAACCGTTCACCTAAACAAAGCAAGGAACATATGGTACAAGACAAAATTAGGTATTGCATCGGACATCTTTGTAGTCACTAATGCCTCAGATGTGGAAATGTCCTCCACATGTCGACCATAAAGAGTTTTGAAAGCTTTAATAAGACCTTGAAAAGTGTAACCTTGATCAGTCATCCTTTGAGCAAAAGTTGTATGAAGCACTTTCAGATCTTCACAGAAAGAGCATGCTCTGTTGTACCTCAAAAGTCACCACGCGTATGGATATTTTTTGTTACCCTGAATCTTCATGCATTGATATAAATATGAAACAGTTGAGGCGGTTTTTTTCACTGTTCTCTTTTATTTCTAGCTCAGGTGGGTACATCAGTGGAAGGGAATTAGCTATTTAACCATTATTGAACGACATCAGATCATCGATATACTTGAAGTTTAAGTTAAACGTCTTGGCCAAATCCCCTTGTTTTCTTTCCAATCAAAGCAGAAATTCTGACTCGTATAACAAATAACAGAACAACCACATAAGGTATCGTGACGTCACATATTCCATCTGAAACATACATATGACCATACATTGAACATTAAAAGTAAATAAACAAACAAACAAACAACATATACACAACATTATCAGATAATAATAAACAGGTTCCCTTTAAGTTGCGAATCTCCAGTGTATACAATCCAGGTGATCCTTCCCGTCCCTTCCTACAATACTGCCAAATAAGGACGATATGAATATGGTATGGAATATTTGTTCTCAATACAACAACACGGTGGAATTTTCCTCGTTTAAAATAGACGCTTGGACCTCTCCAAGGGTCAGCGTCTCTCTGAAACGTGTGCTCGTGTTCCAGTTTATCGTCTCCAGATAAGATCACGTGGAATAGACCATACCCTTGAGTCGGCAAATCTGATTGGATGCTGTTGACCTCGGCTTTGGAGGTCGATAGTATAAAGCCAGTCAGAACCCTCGTTTCATCACTCTCCCGGGTCGACGCCTTACGGTTACCAGCTACGTCCACAGGTATGTCGGCTTGTGTTTTTAACACTGACGTTATTGGCAGTTTGTTGTGAAAGGTCTATCTACGTCTGTCGGTTTGGAATTTGTTTCTGTTATGAGACTGTTGTCATCAAATGCTTTGTTTAATTAATGAGTAAGTGGTTTTTAACGCAGCTTTGAACAGTATTCCAGTTATATCCCAGCGTGGCACTTAATGAGGTAGGAAAGCCCGAAGTGATGCAGGTCTCAGACGTTTACCACTTTGGTGAAACCGACAAGCACGAGTATGGTGCTGACAAACCTAGAAACATAATTGGGGCGAACCGGTATTCGAACCCACAATCATAGGTTTCTGTCGTGCCCAAGGGACGCAACTCTGTCCCCCGCTTGATTAATGTATTCATGCATATTGCACCTTGTTGAATCATTATCATCCCTGAGATCCCCATCCCCCTGCTGGCTGTCCCGACTTCAACTCGGGTTGTGCACTCGCTGATTCAGAAGACGCTTGGGTCTGCTTGGTATTGCAACCATCTTTCTGAAGCTAACTGATGTTGCTGACCTCTACAAAAACACAATTTCACGACAATAATTGACTAATCTTTGACTAACAAACGCAAATTGATTTCCGAATAATTTGCCGTCACCTACCGTTTATGTCTTATTTTAAGCGCACCACCCTCAGCGCCTGTTCCAAAGGTTCCCCCGCCCCCGCCCCCGCCCCGGCCCCCGGCCCCATCTCCACCCCCGAACCATTTTCAAAAACGTCGTTCCTCCACCTCAACCCTCCTCCTGTTTCTGCGCTTGTTGGGTGGTCACTCCAGTATGTATGCAAGATAGGATAACTTTAACTGAACATCTATTGTTGACGTGGACATTGTTTCACTGACGCAATTTGTGTTTCCATAGTGTTAACCAAGTGTTTCCATAGTGTTAACCCAGTGTTTCCATAGTGTTAACCAAGTGTTTACATTGTGTTACTAAGTTCCTGGACATGCTGGTGACTACTGTCACCGAGAGCACAGCGCGACCTACTGGTGGAGAGATTTTCACCCTGTGTTGAAATTTACATAAATAATAAATTCGCTTCAACATCACGTCAGGCTCGGACGTGTAGCGTATGCTGTAGTCTGTATTGCATGCATACTGATTTTTCACATTGAATATTTAACTCATCCATTTGAGTGAAACATCAGTTTCTGTGGCTAATAATCTATTTTCATTGTTTCGTTTTAGGACTACGATTAATGACAACGTTTGAAACCGTTGCATAGGATTCTTCATTTCATTTCTCAAGGTAAGTCAGGATGAGTGAGTGAGTGAGTGCGTGAGGGAGGGACTGAGGGAAGTGGGTTTCACGTCTATATTTCTGGTAAATGAGGGTGTGTCAGTTGAACGTGGGAGGTAAACCCGAAGTGGCACAGTGGGTAGATTTCCATCACTTTAGTGACGTCCTTGAGCAAGGAAATAACCCTGACAAACACATTATCAGGGCCAACCCATGATCAGGCCCCGACCCTGGACTGCAAAATGCGGCGCCCTACGTCACTGGGTCGTCCGGTTAACTGCACATAGATTCAGTGACATACACTGGGTCGATCTTAGACCATGGGGTGAGTGAATGAGTACGGTTTTCGCCACTTTTAGCAATATTCCAGCAATGTCACGGCCGGGGACACCAGAAATGGGATTCACACATTGTACCCATGTGGGGAATCGAACCCGGATCTTTGGTATGACGGGCGAACACTTTAACCACTAGACTACTCCACAGCCCCTTAGGACCCTTGGAGCAACAAAGCAATACCTAGAGAAAGAGTCAATTTTAACCCAAATACATGTACCTCTGATCGTTGATGCTCGTTAATGTCTATTGAGGAAGTTTGGAGGTATATTTCGGAACCGTCTCACCCAGGAGGGATGTTTGTAGTAGACACCGCAGTCAGAAATATTCAGCTGTTTTGCGGAGGCTTGTACAAGATCGATTCTTCATCAGACAAACCGGCGGTTGAGAGTATGAAGTGTGATCACTTGGTCCACTTGCCTCTCACAACAATCATAATGTATACAGTTTGTTTTTGTTTATGAAATCATGAAACCGAAATCAGTGATGTTATGATATATGTTGTAACTATCCAGAGGGGGTTTATTGTGGTTTGATACCTCTGATTGACCAATCAAAATCGAGTATTTTCCTAATTCATGGTAGAATAGTTATTTACTTCCATTTCAATTGCTTTGTCTTCTTGCATGGTCAGGCTCTCTGACTTGGTTGATGCATCTCATCGCATCCCAAATGCGTAGATCAATGCTCATGACGTCAATCACTGGATTGTCTAGTTCAAATTATTTACAGACCGCCGTCAAATAGCTGGAATATTGCTATTGCGGCGTTAAACAACTTACTAACCCACAATCTTCTTGCATCACATGATGTGACCGTGTACTTATGACCACATGGAAAGACATACAGTGTTTTTGTACTACCTTGTCAACAGGTGCCTGTGGTATCTTACACATGTCAATCAGGTCAGTGTCCTGTGTAATTTATGGACATGGACGAGAGGTGGAATGTAATCCTTTCCCAGCTGTATATCTGTGGGATTTATCTCTACAGGAATGTTACCAGCAGTACATGTTTGTTTCTAGTTTTCAAGCCAAAGCTCCAGCATGTCTCTAGTAACACTTCAGGACAAGGAAGGCCACAGCATGAAGGTGTTGTCGTCGAACGGACACCTCTTCCACTCCGTCGCCCTTCCTATCTCCTACGACGAACACCTCGAGAACGTTAGTGACCTCGAAGTCCGACATGACGACGTCTTGTTCTGTGCTTACCCGAAATCAGGTAAATAGAACACTCGCTTAACCTGTCTCTCGGTATTCCGATGCTTTGTCTCCATCAACTTCTATAATGCAGCGCCCGTTTGTAACCAGTACATTAATCCGATATAATATCTACTCCCACTTTTGTTGAAATACGACACCCTTTTATACCGGCCATGCTCTAATCTGACACTCAAGTCTGTCTGCATTGGCATTGTCCTCAATCGACCTCTCCGCGCGCCACATTCTATGTACCGGTATTTTTCCAAGCCGATATTATCTCAACGCCGCCTTATCGAGGTCCGGGTTGCATGTATACCAGGCACTCTGAAATCTAACACCCTCTCCATACCGGATGTTTTTCATAATGAGCTTTAATAATTCACTCATAACTATACTCTATCTATACATATACTATATTTATACTCTATACTCTATCTACACCCAATAAATACTCTATCTATACTCTTTCTATACTCTGTCTAGAGTATTCCGCTTACTAAAAGCTATAAAAAACACTTTCAATTTCATTGTATAATTCCGACTACATCCTAAGCATGTGTTAAGATAGTACAACATGAATGGACATTAATCTACTGGTAGTCATCTCTGATACGTGTACCAACCTTCTCCAGTCAAGCAGAAACACGAATGCTAGCTGTGGAAGTAGGCCAACACACTCACTGTCCACAGCTCACTTCAAGAAACGCCTTGTTCTCCACTGCTGGCGACTTCAGTCGACCCACTGTTCTCGGGGTCATCAGCCTCGATCTGGAACATACGTGTATTAATGGCGGTGTACTTTTTACCTTATCTAATCCTCCTGTTCAGAGACCGCCTCTGTGGTCTGGTGGTAGAGCGTCCAATGTGTGAAGCCCATATCTGGTTCCCCCGCCGTGATATTGCTGGAATATTGCTAAAAGCGGCATTAAACCATACTCACTCTACTACGTGTTGGTTCTGTTTATTTCAGCGTTACAGTTAAGCCCACGTGCTCAAAGCATGCTTTCAAATGGAAATGAGCCCGTGTTTGAAAACATGACTTGCACAATCTTGAGATTAATTAGTTGAGATTGTGTAAGCTGAGGGCAAAGGTGTGGAACGAAGGTGAACCCAGTTCTCACACACGGACCATGTCCCACACACGGACCATGGGTCTGTCCCATACACGGGATGGTCAGGTTTGGAATTGTGACTGTCCTGTTTCGCATTCTCGCATTGATGTACTTATATGTTATATATACTGTTCATCGTTTGATAGGGATACGGAAATAGAGAACACATGTTAAAGTACTTAGAGTATCCCTATGAAAAGTTGACCAGTATATTATGACGCTGCCTGAACGACGTTTGCTCTTGTGCGATTCTGTAGGTAATTCTGTAGGTTAAAATTCTGAAAGTCAAACTGGATTGTAAATTAATTCATTAATTGTACATACAAAATTCAAATACATCCAAGAGTGGAATCATAGCATGAAGATGTCGCAAACAGAATCGCATCTATGGGAGGTCCTTCTCACAGCGCCACTGATGTAGTTCCTTGGCATGTGTTGCACTGTCGCATTGTCGCATTGCCAATGTACATTTCTCGCATTGCCAATGTCGCATTGTCGCATTATCGCATCGCCAATGTGGCATTATCGCATTGCCAATGTCGCATTGTCGCATTATCGCATTGCCAATGTCTCTTTGTCGCATTATCGCATTGTCATTGTCGCATTGTCGCATTGCCAATGTCACATTAAACCCCGTGGGTGTAGCACGCGATCTGACCCCCAGTTATCTCCCACAGGAACTCACTGGTTGTGGGAAGTGACGAACATGGTGATGAACGGACGCGCTGAGTACAGCAAGGACAGGAACGACGTCGGAATGTTGGACTTCATCCACCGCGACAACATCGACGGCCTCTCATCTCCACGCATCCTCAACACCCACTTCCGCCCCTGCCATCTTCCCGAGCAGGTGGTGGACAAGAAGCCCAAGGTCATCCTCGTCGTCAGGCACCCCAAGGACATCGCCGTCTCCTACTACAACATGGTGACGGGGAAGAAGGACGCCGCCAACAACACAGTGGACAAACTCAAGCCCCAGGACAGCTACGAGGGGAAATGGAAACACTTCCTCGACATGTTCCTAGAAGGCAAAGGTGAGAATCAAACTCTTCTCTTCTCCTCTCCTGTCGCTGTAAACTATCTCTCCTTCCTCTCTCCATTATTGTAGTATCCTCCTTACATCACAATCTTCTCCACCCCACCCTACCCCATACCTATCTTTTCCTCTTCCTCTTCTTCTTCCCCCTCCTTTCCTTCTTCTTCCTCCTCTTCTTCCTCTCCCTTGCCTCCCTTTCTCCCAACCTCCCCCGGATTTCATTCCATCTCTCCACCCCCTTCTCAACCCCCCCTCCCCCCTCCAATACCAATGAAGGAAACATGCTACAGTGATTGCTTCTTCGAATGACAAGAGTTGCTTCCCCTCCCACCACTCTAATTGGGTGAATTATTATCCAATCAAATCTTATTCTAATCCAAACGGAACAGACAGGAGTTAACCCCTCACCCAACTGCTTGTTATAGTGCCCTACGGATCCTGGTTTGACTACATCGAGTCCTGGGACACAATCATGAGGGAAAACCCCGACCTGCCCGTGCACATTGTGAAGTTCGAGGACATGAAAAAGGTGAGCTACGCCACTGATTAAACATAATAAACACAATAACACACGAAGCACTAAAGTGTACACACTTAATTGTTGTTTTACCACTCTCCACTTTCACGATGAAATATGGATGATCAACAGCTGTTCTTTGAGAGACATTTAGAAGTTGAAGTACTCAGTAAGGATGAGATATATGGATGAACAACTTCTTTATTACAATTAGGAGCGACGTATCGGAGAAGGTTCTTACACCGTTATTAAGCAAGTGAAAATAACCTGCTTGATGACGGTGTAAGAACCTACCTACACCTAAACGTCGCTCCTAATTGTAATAAAGAAGTTGTTCATCCATATATCTCATCCATATATCTCATCCTTACTTATCAAACAACTCGACATGACGTCACGACAGAAAACATTGTAACCATTCACGTCACACAAAAACATGATGCCATCAAATGGAGAACTTTCGCCGGCAATCATGAACGAATAAATAGTTAATACTACCCAAGACATGCCATCATGGTATAACTCGATGATATAGTTCCTTGGTGTTGATCCTAACGCCGTTGCAAGTCTGTAAGTATATCCGTTAAGCCAGGCATAGCGCTAAGGTCGCTTTGTGAAACCGGGCCCTCATCATGATATTCAAGAAATGATTTAAAAAACATATTTTATTTATTCAATTCAGTATATGATGCTATACATTACATTGAGTAGCATGACATGCTATATACTTATTTGGTGTAGGTTACATACCTATACAGCAGACAGCAAGTTTTAGTTGGCTACTGGTGTACAACAATGTTAACAAGTGGCGAATTCAAGAAATAACTATTAATACTTTCATAAATGAATCATGGTAGTCTAACCACCACTACAAGTAACACAATGGCCCTTGTGATGAATAAGGCGACTTGTGTTTATAGGACCCTGCGGAGCAGGTGAAGAAACTGGCCTCCTTCCTGGGGTCGGACATTGGTCCCCAGACCTGTGAGGAGATCGCCGACGCCTGCAGTTTCCACAAGCTTAAGAAGGCATGTCACGGAACCAAGGACATGTTGTGCGCCATCAGCTGGAAGGCCGGCGGAGGACTCTTCAGGAAAGGTGAGTTACAGTGTCTGGAGCATCGTCACGACATTCAGGTTTTGCATACACTACGTTCATACGGCTTGAATGCATTACCGCAATTTGCAGTGTAGTCGCCATGTTTAACCAACGAATCAACGCAACCTGGTTCACGTTACGTGGAAACCAGCAAGCCTTCTGACCAATGAGCGTTCAGATTACATCGCACGGCAACATTTCTCGTGTAACACGTGTCCAGCCCACCGACTATCTGCAACACATGTTGCTTTATTTCAGGCACAAGTAGGGTTTTCATCAAGTTCATGCGTGGAGTGGCTTTTTTGACGTCCATGAATTCTACGTGGCCTCATTTCATGTGTTGACTGACCCGTGAAGATCCGAGGTGGAATAGGTCTTCAGCAACCCATGCTTGTCGTAAGAGGCGACTAACGGGATCGGGTGGTCAGGCTTGCTGACTTGGTTGATGCATGTCATCGTATCCCAGTTGCGTGGATCGATCTCGAAATAATTTAATCTAAGCCAGACCGCCCACAGATTGAAAACATTAGCAGCAATTCACAATGTCTCATGTAACTGTCAAGACAAAACCTGTTTTTTATGAAGTTCATTGATAATATCGTTTTTCAAACTGACATAAAACTTATTTCAGGGAAAGTTGGAGAATGGAAGAATTGGTTTGACGACGCTCAGAATGACCAGTTCGATCGAGTTTACAACAAGAAGCTATCTCAGTTATCCTACCTAAACAGATACCAGATGTAATCCAGCCTCCCCATCTTATCTCATCACCTTCTTCATCGTCATCACGGAAACGCGCATTTCCTGTCCACTCGTGTCATTCCGACACAAGCCGAGTAGTGACGGAAATCGGCGTTTGGTGACGAGGGGAACCTGACATTGCCTGCTGGGTAATGATTCACTGAAGATTTACCACAAGGATCTGCTGACAATCGATCATTGATGATGACACAACCATGATAATCCACTGGGAGAGGCGTGAATATTCAGTTATATCTGATTCCAAATTTGGTGATATTTTCAATACTCATTGAACTCTGTGGCTTCCTGTCTGAACTCCTTGAACTATCTTTCTTTGGCATCGTTCATGTTCACATTGTATATATCTGTTCGAGCCAAAGTTATAGGTGTTTATTTGGTATTAAGTTTTAAAACTGTAAGACGGAAGATGATTTTCTTGAAGGAAGAAAACGTTTCTGAATGTTGACAATGTGCAAGTACCATGGCTGAAAATGTCCATGTTCTTTGTTTTTAGTGTAAATATTCCCTTGTTAATAATTATTCTGTTATGATTTTGTTTTGTTTGTAAATAAAACATACTTGGCTCTACTTCTGTCTCATGTTCAGTGTTGAATAGTTCACCTACTATGGCAACAAAGCCATATCGATGTCAACTTTAGTTTAATCTGCGTTCGTATACCAAGCACACAAATACTTTCATATTTACAAAAACACAAAAATACTGAGCAGGCACAATGCGACGAAACAAAAAAGTACACACAAGCATCTCAACGAGTGACTTTGAACAGTATTCTAGTTCTACCATGTGTCACAAGGTAGTCAAAGGCGACAATGCTTCTCGTAAGAGGCGATTAACGGGAAAGGGTGGTCAGGCTCGCTGTCTTGGTTGATGCATGTCATCGTATTCCAATCGCGCAGATCGATGCTCATGACATCAGTCACTTGATTGTCTGCTCCAGACTCGATTATTTATAGACCGCCTTCATAGAGCTGGAATATTTGCGGATTGCGGTATCAAACAAATCGCAAACACAGTTATACAGGCACTGTCTAAAGAAAATGTACATTTGTCTTGATATTTCACTGCTGTTAAGATAACACTTTCACGGAATTATTGTCATACAAGAGTTACCTCCCCTCAAATTGTCTTCCTTGATCGTAAGTGTCTGGCGCGAACACAAACTGTTGACTACCTTTTTACGTAAGTTCCATATTGACAAGACAAAATAATGACAGATGGTCATTTATAGAGGTAATATCGCCTCATGGCGTTTGTTATTCTCTTGAAAATGTTCCGTTATAAACAGTAAATTTCTCACTTAACTCTTCAATCGACACCGTTCGTTTCGCAAAGCGCCATTTTTATTACTTGACCAGCTTGTATTCTTTCAACAGCGGTCTCGAAGTTTTCAAGAATATATTTTGTTAGAGTTGATTATGTATATAACCATTTCTATATATATGATGCTGAATTTTTGCGACCCTAATGATTTATTAATGATTTTGCAAACACGAAACTATTGTTTTAGACGCAAATACAACGGCTGGTGACCGCCCCTGTTTGTAAGGTAGGGAGAATTTACGTTTCACAGTTTTACATTTGTAATGAAATAACTTAATTCTCCCGTAGTCATCTACACAAAGTATATAATAAATAGGATAATCCATGTGTCGAGTGAAATATCATGTTTCTCTTATCGAGTGACGGGGGAAAAGGAGAGAAGCATGTTATTTCACACGACACATGAAATATCCTCTGTATATGTGTATGCAGTATAAGTTACCAAGGAGGCACGGGTGGCCCGGTCATCTGAGTCCCTACAATTCGCTGTGCAGAGTTGCGTCCCTTGGGCACGCAAGAAACCTATGGTTGTGGGTTCGAATTCCGGTTCTCCCCGATTATGGTTCTAGGTTTGTTAGCACCATACCCCTGCTCGTGGGTTTCACCGAAGTGGTAAACTGACCTGCATTACTTCGGCCTTTCCTCCAACATTAAGCTGACACGCCGTAACTGGAATACTGTTAAAAGCGAAGTTAAACACAACTCACTCACTCACTTACTATAACCAGCCAAAAGGCCTCAAGTACAACTGATTGAAACTATAAACTCAGTCACGTGAGGTTAAGACATGGGTGAACTGCTGTGCAACTGACACATCATACAGAAACTTGGCAACAGAGCAAACATTTTCAGTATGATCAGATTTTAATAAGTTTGCTATTGATTGTGTACATTTACCCATATCGACAATACATTAAATTCTTAAACTTGTCGTTCTCATACCAACCATCCATGGAATTCATCCTTAAGTTCTCCAGATGCACATGGAAACAAGTAGACGTAATAGGATTAACATTCAGTAAACTACGTTACAACGAAGACGCTTATAACGAATGACAGATATAACGAACTGTTTTTGGTCCAGGTCATATGCTGTATATGTGCTGTGTGTGGGTTTATAACGAACTACGGTTATAACGAATACAAATTAGTGGACCCTTTGGGTTCGTTATAACCGTAGTTTAAAACTAATACAAAAAAAAAGAAACGCACAGGTAGATTTTTAGTAAATTAATTGTACCTAATAAAAAGGATATATCAAATTCAATATCATGGGACAAATATGTAATTTTGGAGCTGGATAGTCACATGTTGTCGCGGTACAAAGGCATTGAGAACTGTTCATTGTCATGTCACATAAGGCCACAAGGTGGCGCTGAACTCAGTATCTCGTGTGACCGCCCCGGGCAGCAATCACGGCTCTGCATATCCTCGGCACTGACTGGATAAGTGTACGAATTCTGTCTATCTGAATTCTGCGCCATTCTGCTTGTAACGCGTTGGCCAGTTGTGGGAGTGTCTTCGGCGTGTTCTGAGGTTGACGTACACGTCGATCGAGTTCATCCGAGAGGTGTTTGATTGGGTTGAGATCTGGAGATCTCGACGGCCAGGGGGAGACGTTGATGTTTGCATTAGTTCACCGTGACACGAGCTGTGGGCGGTGGAGCGTTGTCCTGTTGAAACAGCTCCCTCTGGGGGTAAATGATTGGAAGAAGGTGAGGTTGAAGAAATTGCAATTGATTCGTGTAGCGATTTGCGGTCAAATTTCCCTGAACCACGACCAAGTCAGATCTTTAAAAGTCCAGTTTCCACCCTTGCCGAACGAGGCTGGATTGCGTGGACTCGATCGTAGCACCACCAATGGCTATTGCGAGTTATGTCCCTTCTGAGCCTCTCCTATGGACCAATCAGATTCCACCTCTCGTACCACTTGCATTTGTGTCAAACAAAATGGCGGCGCCCAGTCAATACGATCTGATCAATAATCAAGATCTATATTGTGATAAAACGGGTCTTACATCGCAAGTGCATCAAATCACGTGAGCACCTTGATTAGAAACATGAAAAGACTTGGAAATTATCTGTTGACAACGAGTTGGTGTAACCTCCATGTGTAATACTTCCATGTGTAATACTCCATGTGTAATACCTCCATGTGTAATACTCCATGTGTAATACCTCCATGTAATACTCCATGTGTAATACCTCCATGTAATACTCCATGTGTAATACCTATATGTAATACCACAATGTGTGATACCTCGATGTGTAATACCTCCATGTTATACCTCCATGTGTAATACCTCCATGTAATACTCCTGATGTAATACCACCATGTGTAATACTTCAGGTGTAATACCTCCATGTAATACTCCATGTGTAATACCTCTATGTAATACCTGGATGTGTAATACCTATAAGTAATACCACAATGTGTGATACCTCCATGTGTAATACCTCCATGTAATACCTCCCTGTGTAAAACCTCCATGTAACACTCCATGTGTAATACCTCCATGTGTAATACCCCCATGTGTAATACCTCTATGTAATACTCCATTGTAATACTCCATGTTTAATACTCCATGTGTGATACCTCCCTGTGTAGTAACCCCCTGTGTGATACCTCCCTGTGTGGTACCCCCTGTGTAGTACCTCCCTGTGTAATACCCCCTGTGTAATACCTCCATGTGTGATACCTCCATGTGTAATACTCCCTGTGTAATACCTCAATGTAATACTCCATGTGTAATACTCCTTGTGTAATACCTCCATTGAACACTCCATGTGTAATACCCCATGTATCATACCTCCATGTGTGATACTCCCTGTGTAATACATCAATGTAAAATTCCATGTGTAATACTCCATGTGTGATACCTCCCTGTGTAGTACCTATATGAGTAATACCTCCATGTGTAAAACTCCATGTGTAATACCTCAATGTAATTCTCCATGTCTTATACCTCCATTGTAATACCTCCATGTGTAATACTCCATGTGTAATACTCCATGTGTGATACCTCCCTGTGTAGTACCTCTATGAGTAATACCTCCATGTGTGATACCGACATGTGTGATACATCCATGTGTGATACCGCTATGTGTAATACCTCCATGTGTGATACCTCCCTGTGTAATACCTCCCTGTGTTATACTCCATGTGTAATACCTCCATGTGTAATACCTCCCTGTGTAATACCTCTATGTGTAATACTCCATGTGTAATACCTCTATGTGTAAAACCTCCATGTGTAATACCTCCATGTGTAATACTACATGTGTAATACCTCCATGTGTAATACCTCCCTGTGTAATACCTCCATGTGTAATACCTCCCTGTGTAATACCTCTATGTGTAATACTCCATGTGTAATACCTCTATGTGTAAAACCTCCATGTGTAATACCTCCATGTGTAATACTACATGTGTAATACCTCCATGTGTAATACTCCCTGTGTAATACCTCTATGTGTAATACTCCCTGTGTAATACCTCCATGTGTAATACTCCATGTGTAATACATCCACGTGTAATACCTCCATGTGTAATACTCCATGTGTAATACCTCAATGTTATTCTCCATGTCTAATACCTCCATGTAATACCTCCATGTGTAATACCCCCACGTGTAATACTCCATGTGTAATACCTCCATGTGTAATACCTCTATGTAATACCTTCATTGTAATACTCCATGTCTAATACTCCATGTGTGATACCTCCCTGTGTAGTACCCCCCTGTGTGATACCTCCCTGTGTAGTACCCCCTGTGTAGTACCTCCATGTGTAATACCCCCTGTGTAATACCTCCATGTGTGATACCTCCATGTGTAATACTCCTGTGTAATACCTCAATGTAATACTCCATGTGTAAGACTCCCTGTGTAATACTCCATGTAACACTCCATGTGTAATACCCCCTGTGTCATACCTCCATGTGTGATACTCCCTGTGTAATACCTCAATGTTATACTCCATGTGTAATACTCCCTATGTAATACCTCAATGTAATACTCCATGTGTAATACTCCGTGTGTGATACCTCCCTGTGTGAAACCTCTATGAGTAATACCTCCATGTGTAATACTCCATGTGTAATACCTCAATGTAATTATCCATGTCTAATACCTCGATTGTAATACCTCCATGTGTAATACTCCATGTGTAATACCTCCATGTGCAATAACTCCATTGTAATACCTCCATGTCTAATACTCCATGTGTGATACCTCCCTGTGTAGT